CTTTCGTTTGTTGGGGAAATATATAAAATTTCTTCTGTTTTATGCCAATAAATCTCCATTAACTGTGAGAATTTCTCTAGATGATAAAGTTAGGGAATTTTTTTTCCTAAAAACAAGAGGAAAGTACACAAAAATATTCTGAAATACTTTCACATTTTAAAGGAGAATCCAGAGGAAAGAAAAAGTTGAAAAAATTTAAATTCTTCGAAGTAATTTTACTTACTGAACAACGGCCAATGGCAGAAACATTTTTTTAAAAAAAATGCCCGTTGTTTGGAGGTTATTTTGCACGAATTTTTAAATTAAATTACAAAAAATCTCACCATAAAAACAAAACTTTATGATTCCTATGTAGGAAAAATTATATAAATCATTAAAATTTTATACAGAATTTAAGCTATAAAGTAACAATAAACATCTATATTAAATAATACGTTATTTAAACTATAAATTTCATTTAAAAATATAAGTCCGCTCATTGTTCGATTTAACCATTTAAAATACAAACTTACCAATAAATATTTAGATTAGAAAGTCATTTACATGCCTCATATATTAAAAAAAGGTCTATTTAAATTTGAACTAATTCAATAAATAATGCCGCAAGAAGTGTATAATGGAGATCCAGCACTTTTGAATTTATTTTCTCACCTAAAATATTTATTTATATTATAATTTAGTTTCATTTTAAAATTTTATTTTAATATATATATATTTTTTTAATTTTTCTCTCCTGTATATTTTTAACTTTAACTTTCACTTTTATTATAAATTTTACTTTTGCTTTCTTTTCATGTTCATTTCACTTTCGATTTTTAAAAATTTTCACTTTTTATTTATTTTTTAAAAATTTTTATTTGTAAATTTCACTTTTACTTTCTTTCTATTTCTTCATTTTACTTTCATTTTCTATTATAAATTTCACTTTCAATCGAATTTTTATTTTTTTTTAAATTTTCTTTTTAATTTAATTTTATTTTTATTTGATTTTTTCTTTAATTACTCGTTTTACTTATTATTTTTCTACTTTATTATTAACATTAAATAATTTAATGTAATAAAACGAACAATTAAAGAAAAAATTTGTAAATTAATTAAAAATTAAATTATTAACAAGTTTCACTCGAAATTTTTTAAAAAGAAAAAATTAAGAAGAATAACACCAGAAAAAGAAAAACAAATTTCAAAAATTATAAATCAAAGTCATACGAAGAACATTATGACCAAAAATAGTAAGGCTGTTACTTAATACACGTCAAATAATTCGAGGAAAAAAATAAATCATTAAAAAAAATTTACTGTTAACGAATCTAAACAATAAACTCTATATAAAATAAAAATAATAATAACAAATAAACTTCTGTACTAAATAAAAACTACACAGCAAAATTCCTAGTGTAATTGATATTCTTTTTAACAAAATATCGAGCACAATAAAGTATTCTTATTGAAAGTGTCCTTCATCTAAAGAAAGCTTCCCTTCACAAACGGTAGCTTCCACAATCTGCCATTTTTTTCCCTTCATCCTTCCTTCCTTCTATCCTGTTATTTAATGCGAACAAGTTAGGTTGTATGTGGATCTAAAGAAGGGTATTATGTTACTACATATGAATGACTGCAATGAGTGTATCGGTAGAAGAAACCTTCCTGCTTCTAGTATTGTCTGACATCATAAATAATTGACTCC